TACCGTCGATGACTTCCTCCTCCACGATCGCTTTCAATTTGTCCTCGCTAGAGACGTCAGTCGTCTTGCGTTTCGCAGGCCTTGGCCTGGCGGTCTCCCTAGCCGCCTTCTCATTCCTTGTCCCTGACTCCGCCTGCTTCTCCTCCCCGCCACTGTTCACTGCGACGGACACGGATGCCCTGTTGGGTTGTCACCAATCGAGGCTTGCAACGAGCCATCTCCAAAGTTGCAGCTTGTAGTTGCGTCATCGTAGCCTTGATTTTTTGATGCTTCCCTCCACGCTCTGCTGGCGATGAGCTTTATCGTCGAGTCGAGTTGTCATCGTTTGCAGCGTCAGTGACATGCACATCGTGTTGAGCCTCGCATAGTGACTCACTCCTACTGTCACTCTAGAAAATGGCCAAGTGTAACCACTTCCTAAAGCGTAGTATAGCGGGTTTGGGTTTATTGTCAACCCGGGTCCTAGATGTGATGACTACTCGGTGAATTCTTGTTATTTAGCAGTGAACTTTTAATGCAACTCAAACAAACAAAAACACAAAGCAAGTAAACGGTTGTTGTCAAGTCAAGAGAGGTCACCCGGATATGGATCCCCCTAGACTGCAGTTAAGTCGGATTGCAATTTACCAAGTTCAGTTTTTATGAAAGTTATACTGCGGAAGGTTCTTAATTAGCCTGAAGTCTCGACTAAAGGTCTGCAGACCCTCTCAATCTGAGTCTCTAGCGGGCGACTAACCTCCACCGAAGTAAACAGATTGAGGCCCTAACGAACCAAACCTCCACTACCAAATTGAATTCGGTACAGAATAGCGAATTGGCTCCTCGACTAAAGTCACCAATTCGCCACCTTCGATTAAGGATACTCTATCAACCTAGGCAGATATTCTCATTCTAGGTCAAAGCAGAAACAACAGGAATTTGATCAGGATTCAAGTCATTCAATCATTCAAACCTCAATCGAATATAATCAATTCACAAACTCTGTACTTGGGTTCATACAATCAGACCTAGCATACAAATCTAGGGTTCCCCATACCCAGATGAATGGGGGAACTACTCCATAGAGAAAGAAGCAAAAGCAGATTCAGACGGGGAAATCATATTGTGAAGATGGATTTCTGCTCCTGGACGTTTTAAAACACGAGATTAAAACACGAGACATAAACACACACCCTAGCGTGAAATCGTCTTAAAACACGAGATTCCTCATCACAAACGGCTTCAGAATAGGGGTGAAAACATGTATAATTATCGGTCTATCACATAGCCCTTGAAGGGTTTCATCGTCGATGGCGATGTTGTCGCAAGAGGTTGCTTGCGTGCTCTTCTTCGGTGCCATCTTCCTGGACTCCCGTCGTGCTCAACCTAGGTCTAATACCACTTGTTACGTAGATTTCTCGGAAAACCCACGCACGCGAACTTTGGATACATTTCTCGAACGCTCTCGAGTAAAGGACCTCCTTAATGGCGAGATCAAGCCCAAATTACCTTACAACTACTCCTAAGAAATAACAAAGCAAGAAACTCAATTATGTTCCTATCTTCTCATGACATTAAAAGAATGAACTATACATATATATAGGCATAGAAGTCGTAACCTTTTCCTATTTAGAACATGACTCCTAAGTCCTATAAGCAAGCTTCTAACAACAAGACAAATCTTACTTGAACAAGCAACTGATAAAGAGAATAATAATAAAAGACTATTAATACTAAAATAATAAGGATAAATAAACTCAGATAATTACCACGATGACCTAGTTCTCGTAACACATTCTTTTATCAATTCTCCCTTCAATATCCCCATTCTGCATCAAATTTTCTTCTATTCCTTTACTGACTAGCTAGTTGCTATTCCCATATGATCGGATGTTCCCGTTGGTACACATGAGTAGATATTAGAAAGGGCCAATGGCGTACAAAGGACGAGCATTAAACAACAATCGAGCCACTAAGAAGCGAGGATGAAGGCGATGGAGTGGAGGAACCGTGCGACTCAAAGTAACATGTAATCCAACTCATCGTCTCCTAATTAATTCCCTCCCAACTTTAATCATCAACTTTTGCACATAATCCCCATCTGCGCTTGCTTTCCTAACTATACTTTAGTTTGTTCATTATCACCATAATATTAATCTGGAGTGAGGGTGAGGTTTCAGTAGGCAGTAGCTGGCTAGCAGCCGGTATCATGACATCCCCTAAAAGCACCGCAACTCATCAAAAAGATTCCTGTTAAATTTCCCCCAAAACCAAAAATGGAGGGTTGAAAAAAAATCCAAAAGGTAGGGTTGAAAAATGAAAAGATGGAAGAGCTCACCGAAAAGTTTAACTTTCTGACTTGAGACTTCGTGCTAGAAGTAAATTACATAAATGGACACTACACTTCTGGTTCCTCGTTCTCTACTAAAGTTTGACGGTTGACAAATTTAGCACTAAATTTTGAAATAACTTACATATATATACTAGTCAATTTGTCCTTGGAAATATCTTTTAAGGCAATAAACAAAATGTAGTATTTCGACATGTGAGAATTTAAGATTGAGCATATGTTTCTGAAAATTTGAATAGCTATCGGTATGCGAACGACAAAGGAGAGGAGTGATAATTTGAAGTGCATCAATTTTGTCTAAAAAGAGATATTTCAGAAAAATATATCATTTTAGAAAAAACTCATCCAAATCCCCAATAATTTGGTATGTCAATTCATGCAAATATGTAGTAAAGCATTTTGATGGAACAATGAGACAACGATTTCAAGTGTAAAAGTAAGTGTAAAATGGTACTTAAATATCATAAAACATAACAAGGTGATCTCTAGATGTGATCTAATCCACACAACCGAGTTGTACAATATTATATATCTCCCACATAGATAAAAATGCCATGTAAACTGTAGATGACATGGGTAACACACTCTACTTCACTATCCAAATAAAATGAAAGTACTCAACAAAATTCCAATTTGATTCCCAAAATGATATTTTTAATCCTAAACGAAAAACGTAAAAGATAGGTTCAAAATAGTAAGCAAACAGACGAATGCCATACACTGGATGGATCGAGGGGGCTACGTTGCATCCTCAAGCATATGAAGAAAGCGCCCCTGGACCTCGAGTAGTTGATTTCGACACGACGACATCGCCCCTGTACTACCAGTAGTAGTCTAGATAAATATATACATATTCAAGGCATCCCAACACCTTCGTCACCCACTTTGCTCTTGTTTGGTTATTAACAACATCATGATCCGAAAACAAAAAAAAAAGTTGATGACTATAAAAGGAGTGACTGTTTTGGTAGCTATTACAAACTTGAGTGCTAATTTGGTGAAAAATCTAAACTCTAATAACTGATTTGTTAGTGAGGAAATGTTAAGCGGCCGTTTGTTTGGTGGAGAGGCACATAGATCATCATCATCCTCATAAACACCCATCATTAAAGTTTCGTTCAATGGCTGTGGCTGTTTTCTTACTTGTTCACTCCTGCCGCTTCCTTCCTTTTGCTGTCCGTTTGCATGGCTGTGGTGGGATGAAGCGGTGGTGCGAGTTACTTTCCCTTCACTCCACTCTGTCTCAGGGAGACGACAAGGGCACTTACTAATAATAAATACAAGGTCTAGGTTCAATTGTCATTTTCAATTAAAAGAAAAATAAACAAATTAAAACGAACAAAACTCGCTCTCGATCTAAAACCCGTCAACAACGTGTTCAACTTGATTTGATCTAGATTTTAACAAATTCACACTCGATCGAACCTGACAACTACAGAAACGAATAAAACTCGTTCACGATACATAACTCGTCAATACTTTACATTCAGGTTCAATTGTCTTCTCAACTAAAGTTAGTTTCAAGTCACTTTGACCGGGTCAAATTAGGTAGGGTACCCATGAATTTTGGGTTCAATTGTGATCATGCTCAATAAAAAGGAAAAAGAAAAAAAAACACTTAATCAGATGAAACTCGATCCAATACAAAACTCGTCAACATAGAGCAGATATGGTATTGATATGCAGTAGCGACCATGGGAAATGGTGAAGGGGGCAACTTAGGATTACGCCAACAGTGTTTCGAGAAGGGTTGTGAATTGGTGAGCGAAGGCGAGGATTGGACAGAGCATAACTGGTATGGATCTTTGGTCGCGGCCGTGGCAAACAGTGAAAGTCGACAACTTAGGATTCCGCCGACAGTATTTCGAGCTGGACTGTGAAATGGTAGGCAAAGGCGATGAATTGGGTAAAAAATCATAGATGAAAACCTAAAGAATTATAGTTGCAACAGAGAAACCATTGAACAATAGCTGAAAACCTAGTAGACAATAATTGTTATGAGAAACACAATGAGCAGTAGATGTAAACATAGTAAACAATAGCTAAAAACAAAAGTTATAGAATGGAGAGTGTGGTAAAAGAAGGAATTTGAAAACTTTCTGCTTACAAGGATCAAAGGGTAATGTGAGAAGTGAAAACCACTAATTGATAGTAGCACTCAATTTTGACTTTTATATATTAATTAAAGTAAATAAATAATAGAAAGTAAAAGCACATGATGTTGGAGATGCAGCAGAACAAACTTGGACATTGGCTCAATCCCACAATGTTGAAGCTCATGGCATTTTCTTAACTTACCAACTGACAAGCTCCTCTCTCTCTGTCTTTCTCTGTCTCTCGACCGGCAGTTCTGAAAGTGGTAATCCCGGAGAAGGAACTATTGTTCCCCACTGCAGGTGGTTGCAGGTATCAAGAAAGGCAACCAGCCAAACAGCAATTAAAATAATGGGAGTAGTGAATGTTGGAGAACTGAAGCCAAGCATATCTGGGAAGAGGACATTTCGCCCCACTTCCACCATCCGACATGCTACTGAATGGTCAGTCAATCACTCAATCCTCATCTGTTTCT